CCCTTTGTGGGTTTGATTGTTTGCAGGTTTTAAACAAGAGACATGTAAAGAAAACATGGGTTTGGTAAAGCTGACAGTTTTGGATTTGAGGAGCAGGCCCAAATCTAACAACACAGCATGAAGCACTGCCAGCCTCACCTAGGCTGTCTAATTACTTGACTAGCTACGAGGCAATTGCACTGGGCAGGTTGAATTTTTCAGGGGGCCAGGCAACAAGACTTTATTTCGGGGGCCCCTGAAATAATGTCAAGTTGGGGGCTGAAGTACTACCCCCTTTGTGGGTTTGATTGTTTGCAGGTTTTAAACAAGAGACATGTAAAGAAAAGACATGTAGGAAAACATGGGTTTGGTAAGCTGACACTTTGGGGAGCAAGGTCCCATTCTGAGTCAACACAGCTGAAGCATTGCCAGCCCCACCCAGGCTGTTAAATTACTTTGACTAGCTAAAGGGGCAATTGCAACTGGGCAAGGTAGTAAATTTTCAGTGGGCCAGCAACAAGACTTTATTTTCGGGCCCCTGAAACAAATGTCCAGTTGGGGGGGCCCCTGAAAAAAAGTAACTATTTGTGGGTTTAGGGTTTGATTGTTTGCAGGTTTTAAACAAGAGACATGTAAGAAAACATGGGTTTGGTAAAGCTGACAGTTTGGGAGCAGGTCCAATTCTAGCAACACAGCATGAAGCATTGCCAGCCTCACCCAGGCTGTCAAATTACTTGACTAGCTAAGGGGCAATTGCACTGGGCAGGTTGTATTTTTCAGGTGGGCCAGGCAACAAGACTTTATTTCGGGGGCCCCTGAAACAATGTCAAGTTGGGGGCTGAAGTACTACCCCCTTTGTGGGTTTGATTGTGGGCAGGTTTTAAACAAGAGACATGTAAGAAAACATGGGTTTTGTAAAGCTGACAATTTGGGAGCAGGTCCAATTCTAGCACAACACAGCATGAAGCACTGCCAGCCTCACCTAGGCTGTCAAATTACTTGACTAGCTACGGGGCAATTGCACTGGGCAGGTTGTCTTTTTCAGGGGGCCAGGCAACAAGACTTTATTTCGGGGGCCCCTGAAACAATGTCAAGTTGGGGGCTGAAGTACTACCCCCTTTGTGGGTTTGATTGTGGGCAGGTTTTAAACAAGAGACATGTAAGAAAACATGGGTTTGGTAAAGCTGACAGTTTTGGATTTAAGGAGCAAGGTACCAAAGATCCAAGGACCAGGGGTCGCTATCTCTCCTCTCCTTCCTGCCCTTTCTCTCGTTCTCTCTTCTTCTTTTGTGAGTTTTTTTTTGGGTCATTTTTTTTCATGGGCGGGGGGGGGGGGGGGCAGGGGGGCTTGTCTTTATTCCAGGTGCATTTACTAATCTTTTTGGGCCCCCCAGTTGTCTTTATTCCGGGTGCATTCTTTAATCCCATTTGGACATTAAAGTCGGGTGATGTGTTTTGGGAGAAGCGACGTGATGCGACGGTTATTGCAGGTGGGCGGGCCTTTGTGGCATTCACAGACATTGAGGGCTTTGCCGTCAGCCATTTGCCCCCACAGCAGACGAAGGGACTAGCAGCCGATGCGAGTTCAGACCAGCCAATGGCTGCTTTCAAAACTCGCCTCCAGTCGAGTGGCTCAGGAGAAGCCGAAGAATTACCAAAAACCAGCAACTTGCAAGCATTTGGCCCACACCTTGTATTATGCTGTCTCCTGCACATGGCTCGCGATGGCCAAGGTTCACTACCAAGTTCGGCGGCCGTTCATTCCGGAGATTGAATTTGGCACTCTCAGCGTTGATACCTGGAAAGCATTTGGGACCACAAACCGGAAGAGGGTATGTGGGTTGGCCAAGGCCACAGGCCATGGACTGAATTCTGCTGAAAGATGTTTGGACGCATCCAAGATCAAGCTTCCCACGGCCCGTTGGATTTTTTGCATCCCAAGGAACACCGCACAGGGCACGTCTTTGCAGACAGGCTCATGGGCCTCACCAAAGCCTGGTGACTGGTGAAGCTGCTCAGCTGTATTGTCGTATGCTTGTGGATCGGAAGGCGGGGAAGGCAGTGGTTGGCTCAAGAGCTGTGAAGCTGGACAAGCGCTGGGCATCAAATAGGTTTTGGTTACAACGAGGTGAGTTGCAGGAACCGGCATTGCCGAACCATCAAGCCCAGCATGGCACGCTGCAAACTTGTTCCTTTCATTTTATGGTGTTGCGCGCTGGCCATGGCCAAGAACCGCAGTCGGCCGAATGAGCGCATTGCTGGACCCCAACTTGGATCCGCGCGGCTTTGAGGAGTTCTGTTTGTCGCGGCAGCTCGTACGGGAGGCTTGCGTGAGCTCAGGGCTCGAAGGGCTCGAAGGGCTCGAAGGGCCCAGCGCCTTCAGGAACTCGCTGCTTGCAAAGCGCTCGGAGCTTTTGGCCTGCGGCTCGGAGCTGTTGCGCATCAGTGTGGAGGATGGGTCTCAGTGCGTGCGGGTTGGCCTGGCCAAGGGCTGGCCACAAAGCGGTGCGGTGACCTCAGGGAACTGCGGCATTGACGTGGTGCTGCGGCGGGGCTCCAAGCTGCAGTTGGTGGGGCCTGGCAACTCAGGCGATTCGAAAGTTTGGGAGCTGGAGCTGCCTGAGGGTGCCGCAGACCCTGGGGAGTTGCTGGCAGCCGCCGCCACTGCTGGCAGCTGCCACGTGCTTTTCACAAAGAGCGTGCAGCACGAGGCGCAGCCCGCGCATTGCCTGACGCTCGTGGAGGTGCGCTTGGATGACCCGCCCATTTACAAGTTTCTTTTCCAGCTCTTCGGCCCAGCTCCCCTAGCAGCGGTGGTTGCAGGCAATGGCTGCGTGGTTTTGAGCAACGGGCCCTATGTCGAAGGAGCACCGTGTCCGGCGCTTTGGTTTGAGGGTGCTGAACGAGCCACGTGACGCAAGGACCTCCAGAGCCTGCCGGACCTGAATCTGCAGAGGCAGACCGTTTTTGCTTGGATGACGAGGCGGACGAGGAGCCAGTCAGTGGTGAAAAGAACAACTGGCATGCTGCTGACCTAACGGGAAAAACTGCAATTCCGTTTCCCATCTATTTTGCAACCTGCTCCCAACCTGACCGTTTTGCTCGCACAACATGGGAGGCGCCTGTGGCAGGTTCACGGGCAGCACGCAGCACTTGCTTCACAACTTGAGCTTGGGGTATGCACAGCCTCCGGAGCCCAAAATGGCATGTAGACAGCCATGCCAGTGGACGTCCCATGTTTGCACATGCTCCGCAAGCTGAATGAGTTTTCTCTTGATGCGTGCATGAACGCCCTCTTTCAGACTGAGTCCATCTTACCCGGTCACCCAGTGCGTCCAACCGTCCGCAAAATTGTGCTGCTGATAGTCTCCAGCCGAGCATGGAAGTTTTGAGCAGTTTCGTGCTGTAGTAGCAAACACCCCACCCCACCCCACGCGCGTGAGGCCATGGAGGCCCCCCTGCAGTGCCAACATGTTGGCACTTGGCACTAGTGCCCTGAGGACTTGCAGCAGCTCATGGCCGGCAAAGGCATGCAGCTGCCGCAAGGCCACGCCGTAGGGGGCCCTGATATGGCGCTGATTGCACACAGTCCAGGAGTGCGCTGTCATGCGGCCCGGGGCTTGCGCCAGGTCGAAAGAAGGCCGCCTGCCTTACGCTGCGCACGGAGCACGGCTGCGTGCACCGGTCGCTGGGTTTTCCGGCAGCTACCGGCTTCCCCCTAGAAAAGTCATCTTTGGGAGTGGTCCTTCACCTGCCGCAGGGCCACGGAGCAATTTGCCATGCCGTTTGGCAGCCGCCGTCTGAAATGGAGGCAACGAGAGCGGCTGCAGATGCTTTGAGAACTCGTTTGAAGGAGGAAGAGGGGGGTAGCACCCTGTCAACTCAGCATTGGTTCCAGTGCAAAATGCAGCCAGTCAAGTTTGTTCGCAATAAATTTGGACCAAGAAAGGCGTCACCCTGCCTGACGTACTTTGTGACTGGTCAAAAAGAATTGGGCACCGGCACCGGCAGGTGCGGCATGTGGACACCTTCCCGGGCTTGGCCTTGTTCTGCCAGATGCCACACTTCGCCTATCTGGCGCTCTCGCAAAACTGCGCCTGGGCGGTGCTGGGCCGCTGGCGCGGGGAGGTGGAGGTCTTCCAGCACCCGCGGGGTGCCACCCGGGGGAACATGCAAGGCAGAGATTGCAGCCCAGGGGCGTGCGACCAAAGTGGAGCAATGAAACAAGCAGGCCAAGTATCACTCAACTTACCTGTCCACTACCATGGAACCCGAGAGCGGCGAAGCCTAAAGGACATGTCAATGAAAATATAGAAAATACTGATATGTTAAATTGAATGTATTTATAGGATTTCGGAAGTGATGGAAATAATGTTTGTTCGGGACTAGAATTACAATCATTGACTAGTTGATTGTTTTATATGTAATTTTAGAGGCAAAGACTAAGCTTTGCTCGTTGAAGGTCTCCAGCTGCCGGAGAGCTGTCAGCTGCGCGGCTTGCAGCTGCTGGACGACGTGCTCTTTGTTTGGCACACGGGGGGTCTGATGCGGTACCAGCTCCAGACACCCAGGCCATGGCCTAGCTCGAGCTTTTCCAGTCCAAAGGGGGGAGAAGCTGGCATCCAGTTGTTTGGCCAGCGGCCTATTGGAGCTGATGGGGTTAGAATTGGAGTCTCCAGAGCTTTGATCAACCGTGTGTGGATACAGCATGAACACCGGTAAAGCCTGCAGGCCTACAGAGGACTGGGGAGAGGCTCCAGTGGCGGAGCCAACGAGTTGGGTGTGACACGTTCCTCGCTGCCTGCAGCGCCATGCGTTAAGGACAAGACACTCGCAGATGAAGAGCGCGACGGCGGGCATGGACCAGCCGCCCACAGCAGCAGAATGATGGAGTGAGGCTGACGTCAGAAGACCGTCGGGACGAAGCGCTTTTACGGAATCATGAAAAAGGCTGCAGCATACTACACCATTTAGAAAATGTTCCCCGCGCGCAACCTTGAAGGAGATTTGTTGTGTGTTTCCATGCTATGCTGGGCCATACTTGGAAGATGCTAGGAAATTCGGTTGCGATAGCGATGCCCAGGTTGAATCAGCTGGGCGATCTGCAAGACCTCCATGAGAGTTGCTGGATGAAGTGCTTTGTATAGATCAAGTTTCGCAGCTAGGATTGACTTTGTTTTGCTCGTCATGGCTCCGCTCCTTTGGAGGCTTGACCAGACAGAGAAGCAGCCCTGGCTTTGCTGAGCGCGTGCGTAGGTTGAATTCAAGCTTGAGCAGTTCATGTTCAACAACAGTGCTGCCTGTCACCCGGTTCTGGGCACACGGTGGCCTGCAAGTGGCAACGGGCTGTAAGAGAGCGGATTCTTTGCAGACTAGTAGGTTGGGAGATTGCGCTGTTGCACTCGCAGGCTTTTCTCATGTAGTAGTGCTGCATGGTGCGCCCAGATGGGGATTGTCAAGCAATCAAGGCAGGAAAAAGGTATGGGGTGCTCGGCGTCGCTCAGCTTTGGTGTGTTACTTCTGGATTTGCCAGCAAACGAGTTGCTCAAGTCGAATACCATAGTTACCCTAGATCAGAAGCACAATCAGGCACTACCAACAGCAGCAGCAATACACACAGTTCTGCATGGGCGCGCGCGTAGAATCCGGTCAATCCGGTGAGTTGGTGCTTGGCATGGCCTCACTTGAGCTGGAAGACATTGATCCAGTTGTGGATGGCACTGGCTGGGACTGGGGCGACCGCGCTCTGCAGCATGGAAGCACTTAGAGTTTGCGCTGCAGGCTTCGAACACTGGACACTGGACAGCACTGGGACGCTGTCAGACGTGGATGCCAACAAGTTGAGAAGCCTGGAAGCTCGCAAGAACGTCATGTAAATGAACGGCTGTTTGCACGCCATTTCCACAACCCTGCTTCGATTTAGGTACTGTGCTCATGTGGCGTGGATGGTCAAGGAGCATCGCGCCCTCACCTGAAAGCAGCCGTAATTAGTATGGCATGTTCCTGGCCAAGGTCTGACATAATGCGCCTGCCTCCACGAAAATGAGCCTTGCCCGCCCAGTGCTGCTCTTGGGGCGGCATCAGCCGTGCTGCTGCTTGCGTGACACGTGTACGTTATGCAAGATGGCATGGGGGAGTCACTGGGGATGCGCCGCTCAGCATGATTCGGAGTATGTCCTGTGTGTCGTGAAGGACATGTCATGCTCTCGCCAGTAGCGTGTCGTCTCATGCTTCCGAACAGGCAACGCGCGGCCAAGCTTAGTTTGAAGCCTTTTTGATTGAAGCACATGCGAGAACTCCTGCCTAATCTTGCAACCATATTATGCTTGACGAACGTGCTCTGTCTGGTCAAAGTCAGCGGTCCCAGAGCCATTGACATACTTTCACTGCCAACCCCAGATGCTCAGCATGCGTTGCAGCAGCAGAACATGCGTGTGTCACCATCACCCCGACTCCACCCCAACCCCACCGCATGGTGCTCGGCAAGCATGGCGCTCGGCGTGCCTTGTTGCGGCGCAAAGAGAACATCATCACCCCACCGCAGCCCCACCCACCCCCCGAGCGCGGTGCTCGGCGTGCGTTGCGCTCAGCGTGTGCTGTTGCGGCACAAAGCGATCCGATCACATGACCCCGCCCCAACCTCACCCCAGCCCCCCCGACCAAATATGGTGCTCGGAGTGCGTTGCTCCGGCCGCGTGTTGATGCGGCGCAAAGAGATCAAATCACTCCACCCAGCGTGCATTGTGCTCCCACAGGAGATTGGCTGGGTCCTACTGATCCCAGAGATCTCGTTGCCCAGCGGTTTCATCGCCGCTCTGCTGGTTGTCTTCGGTCTGGCGCTCCACCTCCGGCGACGGCGCTTCGCGCGGGGCCCCGGCAGGTTGAAAGGGCGCCAGGCATGTGGGTGAATGCCAGAAAATGGTGGTGGGCATACTCCCCCTAGCACGCCCATGCAGTCGCACAGGTGCTGCGTTTCACGCCCCCGCATAAACTATGGCTCTCTTTCTCTTCTTCCTTCTTGTCAATTGTTTCCTTGCTTCAATCTGTCTCTCTTTTCTTTCTCTCCTTCTTTCTGTTCTGTTTACGTGTCGATCTGTCTATCTATCCACCTATCTATCTATCCATCCATCCATCCATCTATCTATCTCTCTATATCTCTACCTCTCTACCTCTCTATCTCTGTATCTCTCTCTCTCTCTCTCTCTTTATCCATCTCCGTCTCTACCTTGCTATTTTTCCACCTACTTATCTTGTTACCCATCAATCTATCATGCTATCTATCTCCCTATCCCTCTATCTATTTGTCTGTCTGTCTGGCTATCAATTACTTTGTTCACTCTCTGAAATCTATTTACCCACCTACCCACCTACCCACCAACCCACCCACCTACCTACATATCCATCTGTCTATCTAACTATCTATCCATCCATCTATCTGTCGAGGACGCTGCGCCTGCCACGAAATCTGCACTTGACCTTGCGAAAATCCTGCGCTTGCCACGAAATCTGTAATACCTGACCTTGCGAAACCCCTGCGCCTGTTGCGCAATCTGTACCTGACCTTGCGAAAGTACTGCGCCAGCCACGAAATGTGCGCTTGATCTTGCAAAAGTGCTTCGTTTGCCACGAAGTCTGCACTTGACCTTGCGAATGTGGCCAGAATGCTGCGCCTGTCATGCAAACTGCGCCTGAGTCTGCAAAAGCGCGACGCCTGCGACAAAATCTACACCTCAGGCTGCCAAAGTGCTGCGCGTGCCACGACATCTGAACGCAAGCCCAACAAAGCGATGTGTGAAACGCAATCTGTCGAAGTGCCGGAAAGGCGCACGTACGTGTTAATGGGCCTGGGTCCGAGCCCGTTCCGAGACCGTTCCGAGCCGAGATGGCTTTCTGCAAAACACGCAGAGGTGCACCCTTTTTGCATGCCACACACGCATGCGTGTTTTCTCGCATGCATTAATTATTTCTTTATTCATCTCATCTTTCCAGTTGGGAGGAAATTGAAAAATGCAAATACTGAAGGTCAACCCATTCAAAGCTTAATCTGTAGACGTTTTGTGGAAAACAACCGTTCAACACCGTTCAACAAGAACAACAGCGCCACCAACAAAAACGGTGTTGACTCGGCTGACGTACATGGGCGATGCCAGTTGCTTTGGGCAAGTCCTGGAGCTCAGGCAGCCAACCTGTGCGAATTGGTGATGGGTATTTGGCTGTGTTCAAACGTGCTTTGGATGACAAGCAGCTCGGACAAACTTCATTTGAGTCGAGAAAGCGTCTGAAGCTGCCGACTTTGGGTGCGTGCACGTGTATGGACGTGTATGGCAAGAGAGTTGGAGCGTACCATGCCTAAGATAGACATAGATAGACAAGCACGGAGAGCGTGTCATTACAGGACTCGTAATTATGTTGCGTTGCTTCAGCATGTGGCCCGAATTTGCGCATCTTTTTGCAAGTCGGGGCTGCTTGAGATTTTCTACCTGGATGTGGTCCCATGGCGAACTAGATGGACAACGAAGCAGCATATCAGTAGCACCTGACGGTTTGTGACCGCACATGCCAACAAACCATGTGTCTCGTGATTATCTCGTGCCCTTCGAAGACCAGACAATCGATGAACTAAAGCGGGTGACGTGCAGTCACCTCAGGTGGAACGTGCTCGGCTTATGTAATGCTGTGGTCTTACGGCTTACGGGGAACGGAATGAATGCCATGAAGTTGTTTCCATCCTGCATGTTGCAGGGTGCGGATGTGGCCATGCCGATTTCTTGAAAATCGCAGATTGTTCAATTCAGAATCATTAGATCATGAAACACCTCATTGCGAGACAAATGGATATGTGAGGCGAAGTTCTCTTCGATGATCCGGATGTGAAGTTTCCCTGGCACCTGGTGCCAGTTCTAGAAGGCGATCACGAGCACTCCGGCAGAAGCACCGAAAGGGGCCCGGTCCAATATTCAAATGTCCACACTTCCTGGCAAATGCGAGCCCAGGTTCACTTACGATGTGCTGTCGAGCATTTCGGCAAAGGGCTTCTTTGCTGCTGTGCTGCTGTACGTGGTTGGACTGGCCGTGCTATTCCATCCCAGCTGCCGAGAGAGAGGGGTTGTAGGAAATACTCTCCTGCAGTGCCTCTTGGACGAAAAGAAAGCTAGAAACGTCAAAGAGCTCACTCAGTCGTGTGGCATGTGGCAGAGCTTTGACTTGGCGTCGCGCGCACAGTAGCTGCCGCTGCAAACCAGCCCAAGGTTATTTGTGCAGTTGGTGCTTGAAGGACTGTTTGTCTTGTGTATTTCGTTGCCTGGCCAGAGCTTAGACATAGGGGGTCGCCTTTGTTCCTTTGGGACAGGACTATTTCTGGGCAGAGGAGGAGTTTTGGCCAGCAATTTGTACAGACCTGATAACAGCCCAGCGCTCAGATAAAGTTTGCAGAGCGCATGCCTTGCTTTGCTCGTGGCCTTTGCTTCGCATCTTCGGCACAGGTCCCGATGCTGCTGTACAACATACACATAGAGACCACCCTGAGGGGATCCCACTGGCGCCAATTCGCGTGGGTCTCCTGGTCACTTGCCAATGGTGTTTGGATCATTGGGGAGCACCTTGGCAGAGAAAGCCTGGCACAGTCGCAACGTTATTTTCCTCGCTCTGGGTGTGTACGCAAGCCGTTGTTTCACGAAGTCTCACTCTCAAGGCTCAAGTTCCCGGGCGTGATGGAATTCAACATTAGTGCTGCTATTTTGCTGCTAATAGCCCTGGTACTTCTGGTTTGCGGCTACGACATCTACAAGGCGCCTTGGTAGATTACAACTTGTTTTTGAGATTGCATATTGCTAGGAGATCAAAGGGGAAGGGTACTGATCCCGGTGGTGGCAGAAGCCTGCCTGCCTGCCTGCCTGCCTGCCTGGCTCAGGAGACTGAGCAGAAGAATGTGTGCCTGGATGATAGCTGCCCGGAGAGCGACGGCAGCACTGAAATCAGTGCTGCGTAGCAAGCCACATCTTCAAATGCCGCTTGCTGCCCGCAACAGCGGGTCCAAGGTAGCCACGATTGGAACTGCTTGATCTGACAAACATGAGTTTCCTCGTCGAACTGCGTGTCGGCGAAGACGGCATCATATTGGGCTGAAGAACTGTTTGGTTGCAGCAAGTGACGGCTCAACACCCAACCAAACGCAAGATCCATTGGGAACCACCGCGCAGCAAGTCAGAGGCAGCAACCAGTGACAGTTGGTTTGGCCTGATAGCGTATACCTTTTTTTTTTAATCGCTGGCCGGGCCATGCAGAGCACATTGCAAGCGTGCATGTGTGTGTGTGTGCCTGTTTGCGTCAAGATGGTCGCACCAATCATAGGATGAGCACAAACTTCTTGCGCAAGGCCATGGGGTCAACACGGCGTCAGAGAGACTGACCCAGAGTCGGCCATTTGGATCCCCATTGCTATGATCTTGCGCCGCACAACCGTCGGGCTGCTGTGCTGCGCTCTGGCCATTCAGCAGCGCTACTGAGCAGCAGTGAAGCATGCAGTTTGGGTCGTTCTCTAAGCTTTAAATGGGTATGATGGCATACCCTCACACATGGTGGGGGTCTTTTCATGTCCTTTCGGCCAAGCTGAAAAGGGGTGCCCTCAAACAAAAGCAAACCCAAATTGGGACATCCAACATTGTGCTTTTCTGTGGGCTTCCTTCTCAAGCAACCCCCCGAACGGTACCATCAAAAACGGCACGAACGTTTGCACTGGTGGCATGGACGCGATTCAGCCCGACTGTGTGTGTGTGTGTGTGAAAGGGGGAGCAAGCGGATATGTCCAGAGTGCTGAGGCCTGGCAACGCAAAAGTTTGATGTTGCACTGCAACCTGTGAGGAGTGCCACACGCAGCTTCCACAATGTACTCCGGGATCTTAGGCAGGGTTGTCCAGGCTTGTCCACGCTGAGCAAACAAGGGTGTTGCTTTTTGAGAGGCTGCCGGGGAGACTTGCAGCTGTGAGACAGGACAACATGTAAACGCAACACCACCAAGCACACGTGGTAGCTTTGCGAGCCTCTGCCAGGGCCTCTCACTGGAAAGGTCCAGTCTGCTTTTCAGCCGAGCCGGCCAAGCCAGCGCCCCATCGCCCCAGAGTATACCGCAGAGCCATTGGAAGACCCACAGGTTCGACGGCTCGTGGAGACTCACTTGCCCAAAAGCAAATCGACCTTTCACACTTTTGGTTTGCCTGTTGTTGTTTGTTTGTTCCAAAGGGTTAACTCTTTATTTTCAAGCGCTTGGGCAAGTGAGGAGAACGTGGACCCGTCCCTTCGCAGAAACCCGCCCTCCGGGACCTATGACCTGGTGGTGCTTGGGGCGGGGGTAGCTGGCCTCATCAGCTGCATTGTGGGCCGCCAGCTGGGAAGAAAGGCGGATTTGAAACGATACGAATGCGAATGGCTGTGTTGTCCGGCGGATGGGTCCGAAGGTATCAGTAAGGAAAGACGCTTCTGGTTTTTACAGTCAGAATTTCTTCCTGGGCATAAACCCCACTGTTGTTCCCCAAAGGGTACAACCACTTAGTGATTCACCGAATGGACATCAATCGTCATGTGAAATTAGTATCTAACGAAGTGTCTCCAATAGTCATGATGACTACATAGTTTCTTTTTCGAGGTGGCTCTGGTGGAGCAGCACTACATGGGTGGCGACTGCCTCAACACCGGGTGTGTCCCCTCCAAGGCCTTGATTGCCGCGGCCCGGGAGGCCGCCAGGCTCGGGGGGGCAGGCGTGTTTGATAGGAAACCTCACTTTGGGGACTTTTTTCACAGGCCCGACGAACGCTGGAATGCAATTCCCAGTGGCCAGGCCTGTCCTGCGGGGCGGCGACCTCGGGGTGCGAGTGCCGGAGGTGGCGGTGGATTTTGAGGCGCGCGCGCTTTGGTTTCAGCAATGCCCATGGTTGGCATGGGCAACGCGGCGCATATGGATGCCCCGTTTGAGTTTCCCCTACAGAATGACCTTGAGGTGGGTATAAACGTTTTCTAAACGGAACGATTGACTGAGTGTCAAGGGCACGTTGGGATCGTCATCTGCAAGCAGACCACCCCTCTGCGCATTAGGTGTTGTGGGGCTGAAGCCAACGTAGATCCGCGTAAAAAGTTCGTGTGCTGGCGGAGCCCTCGGCGGTGGTCCGGCGGTGCAATGGCTGAGAGGCTCAAAAAGCTCAGGAGGCCTCACCGAAGGCAAGCGGAGAAGGACTTTCAGGACCACTTGGTCCGGATGGAGAGGGCTGGTTGACGAAGGCAGGCGATACCCTTCCAAGCCAGGCGCAGGGTGCATCTCAAGGGCATTTAACGAGAGTTTTCCTCCAAGGAGTACGTTCTCTTGGAAGAAGGAGATCTACATGTGGATGAGGAAGATGAGATCAACGTGGCGCTCACGACGAACAAGGAGGTGCGAGGCGGTCAGTGCCCAGCAAAAAGGGGAGGCAGCGCTACAAGCTGTTCGGCCAAGGAAAGGGCAAGAACAATGATCCAGAAGCTTCGGTTGGAGCAGGCCAAGGATAGACGACGCAACCGAGTCATCAGCTGAAGGTTGGCGGGGACAAGCGCTAGAGCTACGTAGTGTGCGCTTTGCGCAACCGTGGAAGTTAGAGATGATGACCGCGGACATCAAGGCGATGCTGAAGGAGAGCCAGATGCCGCTGTCCTCCACGGGCGCGGTTCCGGACAAAGAGGCGCAAGGATCTGACCATATCTACCCACCCACGGTTAGGCGCTCGAACCCTTATGAGGAAGGAGATTGGTCAACCTGCGTCCAAGGCGTCAAGATGGTGTGTTAGAGGAGGTAGGGATACGCTCTCGAACTGCAACGATTCGCACTCGCACGACGTCATCGTCTGATCGTTGCAGGTGGCCACGCAGGCAGCCGTCAGCCGTGACCTGCGCCTTGAGGTGGGCGACTTGAAGCCCACTTTCACCCAGTCGATGCCCTTAGCGAGAAAGCGTGGAGAACCACACTGTGCAAACAATGCCGAGGTAGCCAGAACAACCTGGCGGCGGAAATGCGCCAGAGATGCTACGGCTTGCCAGGTTCTCCATTGAACTGCGATGGGCAAGGAAAAGCATCATGGCAACATGCAGGTGGACAAGGAGCGGAGGAAGCTCCGGGGTGGCCAGATGCGGTGAGGGCCGAGGGGTACTTGCGAGGATTGCAAGGAGAAGTTGCGGCAGGCTTACAGCGGTGGCCGTTCCCGCAAAAGACTTGGCCGGCTGTGTGATTGCAGAGTGCTGACGAAGAGGTGTTCGAGACAGGGTGAGTATGGCGTGGAGGCTGAGAGTAGTGTGCTGGCCAGAGGAGCGAAACCCATGCAGATCCGCATCAAGAAGCGCGTATGGCTGTAGGGTCATCATTACATAGCTTGTTGTAGCCATGCGTTTTGCGCAGTCATATTTTAGGCCGGAGTTGCCCTACAAAACGGGAATGCTTGGCAGATTTCCCATCGCATTCCGAGCCTCGAGGCCCAAAATTACTCATTCCCAAAAATATGCTCCATTCTGTAGGATTTGGCCATGTTGTAAATACATTTGCCAATCCACAGTTGGTCTTGTGAGATGGCGTCGTTTCTGAAATCCAATGGAGGACGCATATTATGAAACAGTGTACTTACACTATATCTACGTAAACGTGTATACACACAAAAGGTACATGCAAACCGTTGGCAAGTTGGGCACTTGACCCTCTGAGACGCGGCACCGTTCTTTGACAAATCGCTCCCGTTGACCAGTGGCAGCGTTGGGATCACCTGCCCTTTGGGGTTTCCCTGTCTCTCTCAAGAAACGGTAGCCACCACCATAGATTTTTTTCTAAAACGTACACGTAAAGCAAGACCTAGTTCTGCGGCTTTTGCTTGAGGCCGTCATGTCACGCATGCGGCGAATCCGCGCTGAGATCTCGGAGCACGACTCAGTGCGGAGGTGGGCATGTCTAAAAGCAAGGCCCCGAAGAATAGTTTTCTTCAACCAAACAGGTGTCTAAAACTGTACCTCAAAGCTGGTAGTTGTTGTCTTATGTGTTTTGCTCGTTTTTGTTTTATTTCGAATTGGGCCCAGGGCCCCATCGGTCAGGTATTCCGAAGACTTGGGGGTGGAGGTTTACTCCGGCGCGGCCCGGTTCATGGGAAAGCGCCAGGTGACGCTGGCAGACGGCACGGAGCTGGGCTTCCGGAAGTGTATCCTTGGCACTGGCGCCGGCGCGCTAGTGCCAAAGGAGCTGGAGGCAACCGCAACCGTCGGAGCGCGCGAGAAAGTTGTTTGGTATCGATTTGGTTAGTTGAGATGAACAAACATGTTGACCCCAAGAGTGTTCAATCCCAGGGCATCCCCCACCTGACCAACTCCAACCTCTGGAACTTACGGCACTTGCCGCCGCGGCTGGTGGTGCTGGGGGCTGGTGTCATCGGCCTGGAGATCGCGCAGGCCATGCGGCGCCTGGGCAGCCAGGCGGGCGAAGCAAGTTGTTTGGAGTAGAGGGTTTCATCTTCAAATGTGGCCACCAAAACACGACACTTTTTCCCCATAATCACTGGAAGCCTGGTGTTAAAGGGACAAGGGCGAAACCCCTCTATGACCATTTTTCCAGCCACACCTGCCTCGTAGCACAGCCCACGGTTTTGATTGTTTCCAGAGCTATGACAGTCAGAAACTGCTCGTGAGCTTGCTGGTTAAAATCAAGTCGTCTTTTGTCGGAAGACGTATGTTTTCAGAAATTTTCCCAGCCTGCTAAAGTTAGACCCCTTGAGGGCACCAAGGAGGCACCAAGGATGCTGAATGGGCCTTGTTTTTGAACAGCGCCATGAATCCGCTTTCTAAATTGGGTGAAAAGAAATAATTTTGGCTTCATGTCGAGATGCCAGGTCACCATCATCAGCCCTTCGGGCAGGGTCATGCCCAAAGAGGAGCCGGAAGCCGCAGAACTGGTGAGAAAGGCGCTGGACCGGGACGGCGTGAGGCTGCTGGCTGCCAAGCTGCTCAAAGTGGACCGTCAGGAGGGGGTTGGCCAAATTATATATTTGCCTTGTGGTTGTTGTCTAAATCGGAGGCATGGAGGCAGCTCCTTGCAACATATCTCTAGGGACTGCTTTCCGGGCAGGCACGCTATGTCCCGTCCAGAGGATTAGCCTCATGATGCTTTGTGCTGCTTAGGGGTGTGCTGCACCAGGCAGAGGCCCTTGTTGGTCAGCAGACGGATCTATGCGCGTGGATCCTCTTTGCGACACAATTAGAGAGGAGATGGTGAAGCTCTAGCTGAGATTTCCTGCTTATGTGGTTGTTTGTTTTGTTTGCTTGCTTCTTTGGCATGTTTGTTTGGCATGTTTGTTTGTTTTTTGTTTGTTTGTTTGCCTGCCTGCCTGTTTGTTTGCCTGCCTGCCTGCCTGTCTGTCTGTTTGTTTGCTGTCTGTTTGTCTGTTTGTCTACTTGTTTGTTTGTCTGCCTCCCTGCCTGGTTGTTTGTTTGTTTGTTTGTTTGTGCGTGTGTGTGTGTGTGTGTGGGTGGGGGTTTGTTTGTTTGATTTTGTTTGTTTGTTGGATTGCT